CTAAAGTTGGTTTTCATTGTCCCCACAGTTTCTTCTCATGGAAAGAGAGGTTTAAGTTTTCATTTTTTTGCATGTGGTGGAGAGAGATGTACAAAATCCATTTTGAAAGAAGTATATTTGTGGGTAGCTCTATTTTCAAAATCTAATGTGTATTGCTGCATTTTAGATAAGCATGTTTCCTGGGGCAGTTGCAACCCACACATGACAGAACCAGTTGATGTAGAAGCAGAAAGAGAAACTGTGACTGGTCTGGAAGCATAGAGCTGTCTGACTATGGGCCTGGTTTGCACATGAAGACAATACTTTCAGAAACCCATAACCTTTAGCAACCTCAAATGCTAAAAGCAAAGTGTGAAGTGACCAGAGGTGAAAAAAAAAAAAATGGAGCCTTATTATTGAACTTTTTTACAGTACTATACCTTTAATTTTTTAAAGAAATTTGCATTTCTTAGGAGAAAAAATCTCTATTTTTAATCATTTTCAAATGAATGCCTTGAATACGTGCATCTGGTCTGTTTAAGAATGTCTGAGTGGCTGACATATTGTTTTGTCTGTCAAGGATATTGTCCATTGTATCACGTAGTTTCCTGTTTATGAGGGCCCTTGGGGAATTTTTTCTGTCTGATCATAGAACTGAGAATATTTATAGCTGAGCAATAGGTTTATTTTTATCTCATGAATTGTAGTTGGTTTAATTGTCAATGGGCTGCTGATTTTTGTTTTATTGGATGCTTAAAAAAAAAGTTATCTAAAATGTACACAAGTCTCATAACACTAGTTCCCATTTTTTAAAAAAAATTGTTAATTAGGTCAGGTTTTGATACAAAGGGCAAGAATGACTCTGGCTAGTCAGGTACCCAGCGTCTCCACTTCATGTTTCCCATTGACTCAGAACATGCAGTGTTAACTAACATTGCATGAATTTGATTCATCACTACCACCAACTTTAAGAATTTTTTACTGTAATGATAATGAACAAAGGTTAGTGGGCATTTAAATGAACAGTTCCAAATATATATAATTGCTTTAGCATCATGATTGAAGTTTATTTTTCATTCAGGTCAAGTCCAGAATGAATGCTCCTGAATAACATATAACTCTCTTTCAGCCCATACCCCTTGCACCTCACAGCTCTGCCCACTTTAATGTATTGCTTCCAAGACTGCCCTGCTGCTCAGCGTCAACCCTGCAGAAAAAGAAAGATCCTGGATGATGGAGCCTGGGAAGGTTTTATGGGGCAAGCTACTCATATTTCACTGGGCCAAAGTCAGCCCCATGGCTACACCTAACTACAGGAGAGCTGTGAAACCAAGTCTGGCTCTGTGCCCAGGATAAAGGGAAAGCAGGTGAGGTGAGGACCCAGCTGGTCCCTGCCACAGTGAAACATAATGAAGTAAAAGATACAGAGAGTTCTATAACCTGAACAGGGATGGAAAATTCAATTAAATCTAATCACTTGGCAAAAAGATAGGCTACACCCCAAGGGGGACTGTAGAATTCTATGTACCCAAATCATGTGTTAAAAAATGAAAGAGGCTGTGATAAAAATAGGGTAAGGGTGAATTTGAAAGACACTCTAGGACACATGGCACACTCCCCATCTGGTGACACAGTAGGCAGAACCAATCCAACTATGACAAGCACCTCAGTGTGTTAACCCTCTGCTCTGATTAGAATCATCCTGGAAAAAATATCCTAGTCTTATATATTTTACTGAGTCTTGTATATTTTACTGAGATGGCATGGCAGTTCTCAATAACTCCAACCTGCCTGAAATGCCTTTCTGCTCACCTTGGCTGGTTAAAGTGACTTTACTTCCATGGAAAAGATGTAGAAAAAGTGAAGGCAATCAAACTTGTATTATTACTTTTGTGTTAAATTTTAGGAGTAAGTTTTCTAACCAATATGATCATCAGTTTGTGTGTGTTATTTAAGGAGTCTGAAATGTTTAAGAGAATTTAACAAATTAACCTTATGATTTTGTTTTGAAATGATAAACTCATATCGATTTGTGATTTTCATTTGAAATAATTGAATATGTTCATAGTGTTTGAATGTTTAAGAGAATCCAATTTACAACCAGTATAAGTTAGTTTTTTTTTTTAATTTTTTTTTATTTTTTCCATTTATTTTTATTAGTTGGAGGCTAATTACATCATTGCAGTGGTTTTTGTCATACATTGAAATGAATTAGCCATGGATTTACATGTATTCCCCACCCCGGTCCTCCCTCCCACCTCCCTCTCCACCCCATCCCTCTGGGTCTTCCCAGTGCACCAGGCCCGAGCACTTGTCTCATGCACCCAACCTGGGCTGGTGATCTGTTTCACCCTAGATAATATACATGTTTCAATGCTGTTCTCTTGAAACATCCCACCCTCGCCTTCTCCCAGAGTCCACAAGTCTGTTCTATACATCTGAGTCTCTTTTTCTGTTTTGCATATAGGGTTATCGTTACCATCTTTCTAAATTCCATATATATGTGTTAGTATTATAAGTTAGTTTTATTAGATTTGTAAGAGTTAATTGATATGTAGAAAGATTTTACTTGCTAGGTCTCATAAGTGTTGCCCCGTCAGGCATTTGAAATATTTCAGATAATCGAATATATTAAATTTGTAAGGTAGTTGAAAAAAATTTTAGGAAATTTATTTACATGTATAAAGGTGACCAACTGAAGAAATTCAACTTTTTAAAATATATAAGTTAATTGAACACTAATAAAACAACAAAAAGCAATGGTTCACATTTTTACATAAATCACTGTATTTACAAATAGAATTTATAAGTTAGATTTACAGGTTAAGTTTGAAGACTTAGGTAAAATAAAATTTTCACCTTTAATAAACTGAATATTAGAGTAGATATTAGTAGTTCCCTTTACTCACAATTTCTCACATTTAAATGACAGGAGTAAAGAAGAGGAAAACGAGAGAGCAGTAGTCATTTAATAAAAAGCAAGACCAACATTTAAATTTGTTTCTTTTAAAGAAAGATGTCTGAAGTAGTCAGATTCATGGAAGCAGAGAGAATAGTGGTTGCCAGGGACTGGGGGAAAGGGAAAGGAGAGTTGCATTTCCAACTGATATGAAGTCTCAGTTATGCGAGAATAAGTTCCTGGGCTTCCCTGCTGACTCCGTGATAAAGAATCTACCTGCCAATGCAGGACACACGGGTTCAATCCCTGGTTGGGGAGGATCCCACATACCATAGAGCAACCAAGTGCATGGGCTACAACTACTGAGCCTGTGGTCTAGAGCCACTGAGCCACAACTACTGAGCCCACGGGCAGCAACTACTGAGGCCCAAGTACCCTAGAGCCCGTGCTTTGCGGCAAGTGAGGCTGCTGCAGTGAGAAACCCATGCACTGCAACTAGGGAGCAGCCCCTGCTTGCGGCAACTAGAGGGGAAAAAAGCCCACACAGCAAGGCAGACCCAGCACAGTCAAAAATAAATAAAAACATTTTTTTTTAAAGAGTAAGTTCTAGACACATACAGCACACTATGCCTGTAGTTAGCAATACTGTTTCGTGCTCTTTGGTCAAGAGGGTAGATCTTATATTAAGTGTTCTTACCTCACTAAGAAAAAAGAAAGAATGATTTGCTTAAACTTCAGTTTTTTTTTCAATTATTTCTCTGGTTGGTACAATGATTCATTTCTTCATGGCTATAGTTAATATATGTTTACCATCATAAATCTACTTTTAAAGCATTTAAACATAGGAATGTTACCTTTCTGGGATTCTTAACATTCCCATTGGAAAACCAATTCTGTTTAAACCACAGAGCCCATTATATTACTTAAGGGTGTAGGAAAGGGCGTAGAACGAGGGAGGAAAGCACAAAATACCTTTGACACCTTTTCCCCAAGTGCCAGGGGGTCTTTCCAGGTGACGCAGTGGTAAAGAATCTGCCACCCCAGGTTTGATCCCTGGGTCAGGAAGATCCCCTGGAGAAGGAAATGGCAATCTGTTCCAGTATTCTTGCCTGGAGAATTCCATGGACAGAGGGGCCCGGTGGGCTACAGTCCATGGGGTCGCAAAGAGTCAGACGTGACTGAGCACACACGCCCCCAAGTACGAGGTGCGACAGCCACATCTCAGAGGAAACTCGGGCTGGATCAGCAGGGCGAAGCTTTTCATGGACCGGGAGGCCAGCTCAGGCACTGTTTTCAGGTAGTGCGCACTCGAGCACCTTGTATTTGTCGCAAGCACAGTTCCGTGTTGTCAGCAGAGTCCTCGGAAGGGTCTTCAGGCGTTGGTGGCTGGGGTGGAAAGCAGAAGGGAGGGGTGCTCGGGGAGGGACTATAATGCAAAGTGAACCAAGGGGGTCGACTGCTGGAGTGCACAGCCGGAGGAATGCAGGGTGGCAATTACTGCAGAGCTGTGTTTCTGAGTGAGGACAGAGTTTCCATGAGGCTCGCATTGTTGGTTTACAGTTCACTGAATTTAACAATGTAATAATGATAATGGATTTGCTTCCCATTTGAAAACAACTCCGAGAGAGAGTTAACGCCAGGGTCATGAAGACCTGGACGAACCAATGCTCTCATTGCTTTAGATAGCCTTGGCCCTGGAGTCAAACCCAAGAGTGAAGGGATTATTATGTCTCAAGGTTAATCAGCATTGAGATAATAGTCTAGGATGGAATCTTCACTTTGAACATTCTTTTCATTAAGATCTAGAGAATAATTCTCTTCTATTATGTAGTTACAACCTCTTAGCCATGCTTTTCAGAAACATGATCATTTTTATGACACTATGGCAGAGAAAGCCAGAAAAGCCCCTGTATCCAATTTTTAAAAAATCTCCTTCAGGAACAGAACCCCTGGTTTTTCAGCTGGAGATATGGGTACTTAGACAACACACCTATGTTTCCCAGCTTCCCTGGCTAGATGTGGCCCTGTGGCTAGGTTCTGATGGATGAGATGGGGGCAGAGGTACCCTGTGGCAGCACCTGGAAGTTTTCCGTACAAAGACACCCAGTATCTGCTCTTTATGTTCTTTTCTCCAGTCCCTCTGCCAGGACCCATCCTGGACCATGAGGAGGTTGACCACTCTTGGGGATGACAGGGTAGGTGGCTAAGGAGTGCCTGAGGCCTTGAGGACTTTGAAGAGCCTTTCACACTAGCCCTGGATGGCTGAACTGGACTGTCACCTGAGACAAAAATAATCTCCTATTTTGTGTCAACCCCTCTTTGGGGGGGTTTTCTGTTACTTGCAGTCAAACTAATCATCAGTAAAATGAAAACTAATCATCAGTAAAAAATTTAAATTCTGTTCTAGTATCTCTCACTCACCCTGTTATAAATTATCTTCATTTTCTCTCCTCATTCATTTCATTGTCTTCACAGTTTGTCAAAGACTTTCTTTTCCAAAAACCACACTGTTTCCCAACATAGCTTTCTCCATCATTCTTGATACCCTTCTTTGACAGTGTCTCATCTGATTAAAACATATTTGGTGGTTGAACAACTCCAGAAGTACATAGTCTCATGACTTAAAATACTCTGATAGAGATTTTTGCAGTTGAAAATTTATAGCTTATATCAGATTTACTTCCTAATTACATTCTTCTACCCAGCCAAACCAACAGTCCTTTACCTCATCTATTCTGCGGCTCAGGAAGAAGAGTCATGTCAACATTTCAGGTCAGACTTCTCTGCTTATGGTCTTGGGTATTGAAAGTGGTCATTTCCTGGTTTCCTGCTCACATAGATTTCCCAAAACTCACTTTCTCCTTTTGTGAACACACACCTCCAATCCGTTCCCCTAATCTGTTTTTCCTTGTCTTCTGTTCCTAAAGGCCATTGCCAGCTGTCATTCAACTTGCACTGAACCACAGTGCTCCCAGGCCTCCTCATTTCCAAAGTTTTCTTCAATTCAGCAGACCTTTATTGATGCATTGTCTCATGCCAAGCCCTACACTAGGCTGTGGGGATATAAAGAAGATTAAAGCATAGTTTCTGCTCTTGACAGGAAAGGTGTTTAGCTTCCTCCTTTCTTGTTATGTACTTAACACTCCCTCAATCATTGGTCCACATGGATAGAGCCAGGTTTTTCAGGGGTGGGGGCTACACCAGGTGACCCTACTGTTCAAGCTGACAAAAGACATTCAGATGAACATCTATCAGGGGAAAGAGTGGGGCTCTCTCACTCCTCTTTCTTTACTTCAATAATTTTGTGTCAGATAGGCCTAATTTGACTTTTCTTATATGCTACAGGAGAGATTTCAGAGAGAAGGTACTTGCTTGTTGCTTTAAAACAAAATGAAACTTGGATCTAGGGCACTTGAACCAATGGATTGACTCCTATTGTTTCACCCTGACAGAATTATTCAGGTATCTTGCACGGTAACCTAAAATGTAAAAGAAGGTAGACCGTCAGGAATAAAAGAGTGATGGAATAGGGTGTACCAGTTGTCCCAGGGAAATCTAAGTTGAGAGGATGGGGTGGAAGCTATGAAAATAAAGATCCATGAAAGGCTGTATTTCTTTTCCCCTTCCCCCACCCCTGCTGGGCTTTACTCCTTATCTTTGATCTGGAGGAAGTATCTGTAGCTCTTCTCTGGGAAGGAGGAAGTCCATCAAGGCATCAGTGTTACAATTTCTCTAGCTAGGCCATCTCCACATGTGATCCCCTCTTCACAGGTGGCGCTCCTAAAGGTATCATCTTCTGGTTAATCTCTGCAGTTAGCACCCACTAGGTCTATATGTCCTACCTGTGAACCTAATTTGGAACTTTATTATACTTTTTAAATGTCTCTCTTCTTTCCTATTCTGAGTTCCATTACAAAGTCTTCCTCTATGCACTTAGCCTTGGGCGGCACCATGCCTGATCCTGGCCTTCCCCCATCAGCCACTAAGCATGTGGGTGGGGGTGGGGGAATCCAGGACAGTCCCCTCAAAGGAGAACAGACAGGAAAGGGTGAACGTCAGAGAAAATCCTCCTGGAGACTTTTGAGATTTCTTGAAGTTTTTTTTTTTTTAACCTCCCCAGCGGCTGTCTTTGGGTAGGTGTATATATGTATGGTTGTGACTCTATTTCCACTGTGCTGTGGAAGTGTTAGTGGCTCAGTCATGTCCGACTCTTTGTGACTCCATGGACTATGTACCCTCTGTCCATGGAATACTCCAGGCAAGACTACTGGAATGGATAGCCATTCCCTTTTCCAGGGAATCTTTCCGATCCAGGGATCGAACCCAGCCTCCCACATCGCAGGTAGATTCTTTACTGGCTGAGCCCCCAGGGTGGTGGGCTTTAAAAATAAAAATGACGTTGTATGCTTGTCTCTGAAACAGCAGAAGGTGAAACTGAGGGGCGGGATTCATCCCTCGACACTATTCTTAAGGTCAGTCTAAGTCAAAACAGGGGCTCTCAGTGAAGAGTGATCAGAACCCTAGGAAGAAGAGGGAAGCAAGAGGCATCCCTGGACTCGCGTTATCAATAAGCATGGGAGGGCTGAGAGAGGACCCTGCCTGGGACTGAAAAGAGAGGGTTTTCACCAAAAGAGCAGCCCAGCTCCCCGGTACTTCTGTGGCGTTATAGCAAGACTTTGACATTTCTGCACATTTGTAGAGTACATGAATGAGAGTCAAGGTACTCTAGAACAAGACTTTGGGGCTCTCTCCTGGAAGCATTGCTGGGTTTCAAATCAGAAGGCTAGGATTCAAGTCTTGGCTCCTGAGACACCTAGCTGTGTGATTGTGAGTCTGCTTTTATATTTTCTGGCTTCTTGGTTTCTTCCTCTGTGAGGGGTAATAATACCTGCCTGCCTCCTACCCAGTCAACAGGTATCTGTAGCATACAATTACACTCCAGGTACCAAGCTAGATGCCCGGAGTAAGCAGCCTCTTATAGCTTATGCTCTACTTTGAAATTGGATGCGAATAAGTAACTGTAAATGTGATATTGTCACAGTGGAAAACCTCCAGGACTTAGGAGCACAGTCACCAGGGTGCCTAACCTAGGCTGTGAGGTCGGGGGTGGGGGGCGGGGTATTCCTTGGGCGAGAAGTTTGAGCTGAAATGCAAAGGATGAATAGCAGTCAGACGGATGAAGCTGGAAGGTGAGACCTGGTCACAGGAAAGAAATAGCGGTGAGAAGGTTCAGGGAGGGAATGTTATCTGTTGGACCAAGAAGAGGGCAGAGAAACCGGGAGTGCAGAACTACATGGGGAAGATGGAAGAGATGGTGCTTAGCCTCACGGGCTGTAATAGATGGATCCTAAGGGAGACAAAATGATAGTGAAGTGCTAGCATTTCTTGAGTCAGGTATCCTGGTCATCACCTTATGTGTATCAGCTTATTATTCCCCCAACAGCCCCAAGATCACTATTAAATGGTGCAGCCAGAATTCAAACTCAAACTCCTGGCCCCTTCCCACTATGATGTGCCTATATAAAAGCTCTGCAGACTCCAAGGCAGTATGCCAACGTCACATACGGAGAGTTTAGACCCAGAAGGATTCATTTCTCCCTAATCTCTTTTGGATATTTCTATTTTTGAGGAAGGTGTTTCCCAAGGCCACAGAGAATGTGGGGGGGAAAAAAATGAAATCAGCTTCTGTTTAAAGAAACTTCTTTTAAAGGAACAAATGACTCTTGGTCAGGCTGTTTCTCTCTGGTCAACATCCTGGCAGGAAACTTCCAAGCACAAGAGGCTTGAGAAGGAAGGAGTGTTTTCTTTGCCTCTAATTTGACTTCCTGTTTTGCTTTCCAAATTTGCATAGATTTTCTTAAATGCTCTTAGGAAAAAGTGGGTTGTTTTTTGATCGTTTCCATGAGACGAGATTTTTGTTGGTAGAGATCAGCCATAGGAATTGCATGGGACTAGCCAGCTTGCATTGCCTGGATGTAAACTCTGCCAGCTCCTCTCTGAAGGCTATTCTGTGCCCCTCCACCTGTTCACTTGGAAATACTCCTACCTCTGTGCTCTCACTTGGGCCCCACATCTTCCTGAGGCACGTGGTCAAGCTTATTTGCTCATATGCCTGTTGTTCTACCAACTGTCAGCTCCTTGGAGGCAGGAACTATCTGACTCATCTGTCCATCCCAGTGCTTACCTCATGCATGGCACATAGCAGCCACGTCATAGATGCTTATGGGGTGAACGAGCAAACAATGACTGCTTGACGGGTCGCAGCCTTGACATAGTGCCTACTCTGACAAGTGCTATGCCCGTGGGTTGCATGCATCGTCTCATAAAGTCCTACAAGCCTGCTGCGCAGTTTCTCTTACTCCCCACCTTTCAGATAAGGCAAACCGGGGCCCAGGAAGCTAAAGTGGTGACAGGAGTCCAGCTCAGGTGATCTTTCCCGTCACATCTCTTTGCCTCCTCCCCTAAAGTGGCAGATGGAGGAAATCAGCAGCTCAGAGCGTTTGCTGATCCTAGCCAGCACCGGTGAGTGTTTAGAAGCTGTCTCTTATTTTGCTTTGAGCAAACTCCAGCAGGATGAAGTAGTGGAGACAATAACTGCCTTGATTTTCTGCAATCTCTCCTAGGTGAGGCAGCGTGGAGTCAGGGGAGGAAAGAGGCTGCAGGACCACCGGGCCAGGGTTCGAATCCTGACTCTGTCACTGCCTGTGTGGCTCTGGCAAGGTGTTCAACAGCTCTGTGTCTCTTACAGAGGGACAACCACACCTCCTGCCTGGGAGCGAAGAGTCCATCAGAAGTTTCAAGCAGAGGGGTCAGCGCCCTATGAGTGCTGTGTGTATATGGTAGCTGCTTTAGTGTGAAGATGCTGGAGAGTGCTGATGTCACCGCATCGGTGGCCCTGGCTGACCCTGTCCTCTGGCTTTAGCAGACACAGGGCATCAGGTCAGCTCTGCCTGCAACACCCTTGCCCTCACTTCCTCAGATGGCTTGCTCCATCACGAGACATCTTCCCTTACCTCCTTTAATCCAGCTGCGTGGTTTGGTTGATGTTTGCTTATTTGGTGATTGAATAGTTGTTGGTTGACTTGGTTGACTGATAAGAGGGGGATCTTGGAATCTTAACATAAGTCAGGGGCTGACAAATTAGAATCTGTAGGACAAATTTATCCCTCCCTCTGATTTGGGGAACTAAATAACAGAGGGTTTTACATTTTTAAATGGCTGAAAACATTTTTTAAGAGAATACCATTTGGGGATTTCCCTGGGGATCCAGTGGTTAAGACTCCACACTTCCAGTACTAGAGGTGTGGGTTCAATCCCTGGGCGGGGAACCAAGATCCCACATGGCACACGGCACAGCCAAAAGAAATTTTTAAAAAGAGAAAAGAAAAGATTAAAAGAATACCATTGTATGAAAATCACATAAAGTTCAAACTTCAGTGTCCATAAAGTTTTATTGGACACAGCCATGCTCCTTTGCTTACATTTTGTCTACAGCTGTTTTCTTGTTACATCAGCAGAGGTGAATAGTTGCAACGAAGACTATATGTGCCCTAAAGCCTAAAATATTCCTATCTGGCCCTTCGCAAAAAATTTTTTTAAAAGTTTACCCATCTCTGGTATAAGCAAACAGCAGCAGAAATACCCTACCAGAAGAATATCCCAGCAGAAATATCTCTTCCCCTTTCCTGTCTCCACCCTATCCCCCATACAGCCTCAGGTCAGAAATCCTTTTCCATTAACAAACTGCAAATACTCCCTGAGAACTTTACAGAGTGCACACCATTCTTCACACTTTGATTTTGCTGGACAGAATCACACCTGAGCTCAGTGCAGAGGAGAGAAAAAGAAGGTAGATGTAAATAAGCAAGAGAAAGAGAGAAAAAGAAAGGAAAGTGGGGGCAATGAGAAGTGTAAGCAAATTTATAAAGAAATATGTTCCAAACAAGAAAATCCGTAAAAAGCCAGGGAAAGGGAAAGGGTTAGCAGATATGTGTAAATTCCCCTACCTTCTCTGCAATTGACACAATCCTATCATCTCTTCTTCAACAGGTTTTGGCAAGATGGCAGCAAGAGGCAATAACATCAGTTAGAGAAAATGATTAATTTAGAAACTGTTGTTGACGTAATCTGGCATTTATTCAACTAAGGAACTGACCAGCTGACAAAGACAAACTCAAAACTCCTAGTAAAATTTTGCTGTTGCAGCAAATGAGCTAAGGAGTCAGGTGTCTCTACCAGAAGTCACTGAATCCCACAAAGAAATAGTAGCAACTTCAGCAGTAAAACCTTAATGTTAAAAAATTATAATAATCAACAAGAAAAGCCTATAAGGAATAATAAGACAAGGATATTATTTTTTAAAATAGAAATTAAAAAGTCCACACACTCACTTGATGAACATAATTTTTATTTTATTGATAGAAAGAAAAACCCCAGTGATGGTAACACAAAAGAAGATCTGGTTTCATCCCTGGAGCCTACATAACTCATGGCAAGATTTCTAGACATAGACATGTGCATGCATAGATGCTAAGTCACTTCAGTCATGTCCAAATTTTTGCAACCCTATGAACTGTAGCCCATCAGGCTCTTCTGTCAATGGGACTCTCCAGGCAAGAATACTAGAGTGGGTTGCCGTGTCCTTCTCCAGAGGATCTTCCCAACCCAGGAATTGAACCCATGTCTCTTAAATCTACCTACAGTGACAGGTAGGTTATTTACCATTAGCGCCACCTGGAAAGCCCAGGCATACACATAGGGATTGTTAGAAAGCAGAATAAGTATAGCAAGGCATTTCTCCTTTTTAAGACAAAGACCAGAGATGAAGACCCTAAAAGCACAAGTGTTTGCCAAAGTCGAGTCCCAGTGGGCTTTGTGTTTTTCCAAGTATGCACTTGATACAGAGGAGAGATTTAATCTAAATAGAATTCACTGAGGGATGTGGAAAGCTAAAAAATCTCATTTTCTCACCTTCAAGGAACTTGCTAGTAACAAAAGAAGATAAAAACAAGAAAGCAGAAAAGCAAAGCAGTACAAGCAAGAAGGTACACATACTCCAGTGTTTATTGCAGTGCTATTTACCATAGCCAGGACATGGGAGCAACCAAAATGTCCATCAACAGATGAATGGATAAAGAAAGAGTGGTACATATATCCAGTAGAATATTCAGTTCAGTTCAGTTCAGTCGCTCAGTCGTGTCCGACTCTTTGCGACCCCATGAATTGCAGCACACCAGGCCTTCCTGTCCATCACCAATTCCTGGAGTTTACTCAAACTCATGCCCATTGAGTCAGTGATGCCATCCAACCATCTCATNCCAATCCAAGGGTCTTTCATCTCCCATTTAGAAGCATTTGTTCACAAGTTTATTCAGAAACTGTGAAAGGCACCCCAGTGGTTGATTTCTACCAAATAGATAACAAAAGGGGGAAGAGGAAAATTAAACCCTTTCTAATCAGCACTTCTCCAAACTGCCAAGGTCACGAAAAAAACAAGATAGTCGGAGAAACTGTCACAGCCTTGAAAAGCTTAAGAAGCCATGACAATTAAATATATCACCGTGTCATGGATGAGGTCCTGGAACGGAAACAGGATATTGGGTAAAAACAAAAGAAAATCAATTAAAGTATGAACCTTGATTAATAGCGTATTAATATTGATTGATGGTGACAAATCTATCACAGTAACAGAAGATGCTAATACAGAAGAAAACTGTGTGCAGGGTCTATGGGGACTCTGTGTGCCGGCTTCACAACTTTTCTGTGAATCTAAAACTGATCTAAAAAGTAAAGTTCATTTTCCCAAAGAAGGAATTATTCATTCAGTGAACATTTAGAAAATGACTCTGAGTCAGGCACTCTGCCATGGATCTCACTTGAAGCCTGGAATTCTGGTGAATTTGCATCCTCCAAACTTTCCAATTGTCTCATTGCAGGAAAGGTTAAAGGAGTCATCTGCCCCCTTGACCTTGCAATAACCAATGTCAGTGTTTTACAAAAGACAGTTAATTCACTGTGAGATTTAATGGGTGCTGCAGAGGGGAGGGCAAAAGGGGTAGTCTTTGGTTCAACAACTTTCAGAAAAATTGTTGTTTAGTCACTAAGTCGAATCCGACTCTTGTGCGACCCCATGAACTGTAGCCCGCCAGGCTCCTCCATCCATGGGATTTTCCAGGCAAGAGTACCGGAGTGGGTTACCATTTCCTTCTCCTAGATATCTTCCTGACCCAGGTATTGAACCTTTGTCTCCTTCAATGGCAGGCCAATTCTTTACTACTGAGCTATGTTGGAAGCCCTCAGGAAAATTAGATTAAAGCAAATAAATACATTTGTTTATAGAACCTCTCAGAGCCTTTATTTTGCTTATGCATATTGTAACTATCCAAAAAAAATCTATATAATGCAGCATGTCCCCAACTTATTTGACTGTGAAACTTTCTTACTGCAGAACCCTTTTGGGGACTAACTTCCTCCAGATCATACTTTGGAAAACACTGTGCAACCTAAAAAGAAGACTAAAATAGCTGAAATCTGCTAAATGAAAGGCTTGGTACAGTGAATTTTAAACAAACACAATGAAAATGATCTCATTAGTCATTACTGATTTTTAACTGGTTGCCTCAGGGATCTCAAGAGCCAAAAACTTTGCCAAACTAATTGCTGAAAATTTTTCGTTTTAAGCTCAAGGCCTTAAACAAGAACCTAATGGACTGTGTACCTTGTTAAATGTAACTGCATGAGGAAACTATTAACGTTAGACTCAGTTGATGTCCTCCATGGCTAAACAAAAGGCATTTGTAACTCAATTCTTTGAAAAGCTACACAAATTTGAGTGGGCAATGAATATTTGGTCGAAATGAGCCAATGCCGAAATGAATAAATCCTCCCTGTTTTGGGGAACAAAGTCAATTCCGTCGCAAATAGCTACAGACACTCTAACGTACCTTGGACAGCTAGAATCTTAAGAACTCATATGTGGAAATTGTACATTCTATTCCTTGAGACATGCAACTTTCTGAATCTAAATTACATTTTAATTTAATCAGTTTGGGCAGTTGTATCTCTTCTGCAGAGATTAAAATAATAATAGGCTCAGACCTGGCAGAGTTTTCTTGCAAATTGGTTTCAAAATATAACAGATGACAGGCAATAAGACTTGAATCTTGACAACATGGGCTTTGTTATGGGATACAGATGTAGCATTTTTACCAACCTCTGACTGCTTTTAGCACAGTCCTTGAAGAATTGGAAAAATCTTGCTTGAGATGCATAAAAGTGGCAGAAAAGTAATTGTTAAGGAAACAGAAAAACTGTGGTAGTAGAATAAAGTAAGGCATCAGAATTCAGCATAAAGGGTGCGAAAGAGATGGAGGGTGAAAGATCTCAATTTGAATCCTAGGTCCATCCCGTTGAAGCTGAGTTATCTTGGGCAAGTGAATTTTGGAACTGCAGCTTCCTTATCAGAAAAACGCGAACAATAATGTCACCTTTGCACAGTTTTTGTAAATAACAGAGATAGTGTCTGCAAAGTAACTTTTACAGTCCTCGACACCTCCTATACCCTTGGTAAATGTTAATTCTAATAAGAAAGTGCTGTGCTCAATCTTAAACAACAGAGGCTTTAGCAGGGATTCAAGTGAGTACTGCAGCACCACCGCAGAATAACTGGAAACCACATTTATAAGAAGCAGAGGAGGGAAAAATGTTTTAGGCCAGCTAAAAATGAGTGCTGTATGGAAAGAACAGCTTGATTTGCATCAGCAGAGGTTTTTTGGAAGGCAGGCAAGACATAAACTTTTAGCCCTTTGGCATATCTGAACTCAATTACAGTGGTTCTGCTTAAGTCAGGTTTGTCAAATGGGCTTCTCTGTACATCTCACTTCAAAACCTTCTAAAACCAGTACCTTCCTAGACTCAAACAAGAAAACTATTGGAGCCTCAAAAATGAGACAATGAAAGGAAAGCAAGAAAATGTTTACATATTCAAATCAGCAAAGCATTATCCTTTTCTTGGCTAACAGGGAAGCTTCTTCACAGTCCCACTGAAATGACTCCCTCCTTCCCTGACGGCAAAGCTTATGCTTAAAGCTGCCCAAAAGTAAAGACAACGATGAATAGCAGTTTCTGCAGATACAGCACCAAAGGAAATAAAGGGTGAATTTTATGGTACATGAATTATGGTATTGAATTGTATCTCAATAAAGATGTTACTAAAAAAATATGTAGCAGTAAAAAAATAAGTAGTAGATCTGCCGCAATTAAGTAAAACTAGGTTTTTCAATAACCATTTATATATATTGAGTGCTTATTAAGGACCAGAATTTTTCTAAGTATTATCCATGTATTAATTCATCTGACCCTTGTAATTACCCTGTAAGGTAAGCACTCTTAGCCCCCACAGATAAATTGTGGCTCACTTCATATCACACAGTAGTAAATGGAAGGATTGGGATCTGATCTCAGACCATCTGAATCCAGAGCCCTATTTCTTAACCAACTCACCACTTATGATCTTAACCACGATACATACTATGCCATGCTGCTTTCTTGAATACGTGGAGTTCATTACTAGAACACAATTGTTTGGAATCCAATTCAAATACTACTATATATTCTAACAAAGAACTGCGGTGTAAGAGGAAGTTAATATTTAAGTCCATATAGTTGTATATTTGGCAGAACTAAATAATATAATCAAGAATAATCAGCCTACAGTCAAAGCCTGATTTGACAAAATATGAGAGGTTATAAAACTGAGCAAGTCATTACAGACGAAAACCCCTTCCTGCCCAGGCTGATAGATGTTTGTCATTCTGCTGTATGCCCGGTTAAATTTTTATCAGGAAGAAAAATGATGCAATTAGGGAAGATGATAAATTACACATCCTGTAAACATTTAGTAGCCTAAACAAAGTGATTTGGCATCAAGATAAAATAGAAATATCTTCAATAACCACTTTGATGTGTAACTGCTGTTAGAATTTCATCATATGACCAAAAGAAAAAAGGACTTTTTTTTTTGGTTTCTATTTAGTTAGTTAGCTAATTTAGTGGGGGAAAATTGAAGTCTAAAGGAGGAATGAAGGAAGATTTCAATAGCATTTATTTTTTGTCTTCACAAAATTAAAGGCATATCATCTGTTAAATGGGACATAAAAGAATAAGGTAGTAACAGTTCATGCTTT